ACTTGGTAGATGGAGATATTGAGCAGTTTTCTCGCTCTTGGCTGTCTCATCGCAATTATCATAATCTTGGTCTTTCACGAGGGCAAGTCATTGCCTCATTGGCCAAACATGATCTCGATCAACACCTTGGTTGCCGTCTTCACTGCGATTTTCAAGACGTCTCTAGTGATGCCAGTTGCTGAAGGTGTGTGGTTCTTGAAAAGATTTGAGGGTTCGAGGATACTTCCTTGCCACTGACATCAACATGGAAAACAGGCCTTGGTCAGCTCAAGTGGGACTGGTTCCAGCGCCCGCGGAGGTTAGCCGACATTGTTCTTTTTGACAATGCTACCCGTGGGCCTTGGGGCTCCTTGATACTAATCATCAAGCGGCTGTTCCGGGCACAGAGAACGTGAGTTATTTCCCAAGTAATGACCTTGCCCGTCATGGTGTCTGATCTTTAGACACCGATATTTAGCAGCCCATTTACTAAGCCTACGTTAGATATCTGGCTGGGTTAGGCGCTGTCATTACCGTAGCAGCGCTCGCAATCGACCCCATCTCTCAAGCTATGGTCGAACATAAAAGATGTCTACTTCCCACGCAATCTGTCAACGCCAGCTTAGCAGAGGTTGCGAGAGCAAACAACTACTCGGCCGGTCGTATACGTAATGATCCAAATCGTTACTTCTCAGACTCGGAGCTAGACAGGCCACTCGGCGCGATCATGGAGTCGGCCATAAAGAAAGGACTCATCCAACCCCAGGAAACAGCTGCCATGATCGACTTTAGATGCCCTACGGGTAATTGCGACTTTACAAGGGAGGATAGTAGCAGTTATTTCTCTTCTCTGGCCATATGTCACTCCTGTCACGATATCACAGAACAAATCACGCGCTCCGACGATCCTGACATCTCAGGACACTCCATCTGGCGACTGTATTCTGATTCATTCAATAGTACGTATGGTAGAAGTACCCAAGTGTACAGTGCATGGAACTCAGCAAAGCTATCGCTCTCGTCGACACCTCGACTTTCGCGCGACGACGAAGGGCTCCTTGTACCTTTCTACAGCTTTGACATTCTGATGGTTGTTAATCCTGACCCTAGCTGCAAAGAAGGTTGGCAGTCTTCGACCACGGCCAGTGCCGCTCGGTGTAGGCTGGATGCGTGTGTAAAGCGTTATAACGGAAGCGTCCAAGATGGTGTTTACCGTGAAACAGAGCTCCCAGAGCCTGAGGGAACTTTGAACTACAATCCCTTTGAGGTATTCTCTTGGAGGAAATGCCATGGGCACTTTTGACCAAAACGAGCCTCATCGACGGCAAAGAACGACCTTGTGTCGCAGAGGCAAATGGGGCGCCTCACACCGTTCGAGTTGCACCAGTAGACGATACCCGATACAGGGTTGGATCCGAAGATCGGTTTAAGTGGCAGAACCTTACAATGAAGTCGTTTCCACGAGAATGCGTCTGGACGATAGACTCAAGCTCATGGCAAGGGATTATATCAACGCTGGAGCTTCTTCTCGAGACCACAGTCACAGGCAGCCTATCTGACGACATAAGCCTATATGAAGGCCCGGAATGGCTGAAGCGCGTCTACTCGAATGGTGCAGGAAGCCTCTCTACGGTCGAGTTAATGGTTCGCGGCTTAGCGAACTCGATGACAGCAGCCATTCGAAACCAACCCCAAGGAGACATTCAGGACGAGGGCATAGGTCATCTTGACCCGAATCTCAGAACATCAATTGGCACCGCTCTTACCATGTATACATGTATATACATAAATTGGCACTGGATAGCATATCTGGCTTCACTGCTAGTGCTGCAGTGGACATTCTTAGTTTTGGTGCTACTGAATCGACGCTCTAGTTGTGGGGATGGCAGACAGCGACAGATGGGATGGAAATCATCGCCTCTGGCGCTGCTATTCAATGGGTTCGAGGAGAGTCTTTCTCGAAAATACAAAGCCTTGTACACTCTTGACGAGATGAACCGAGTGGCGGAAAGTACGACAGTTCAGATGGTTCCCGCGAGTGGTTCTAAGGGCGATGCGTTGAGATTATGCGAAACCAAGGCATAGGGGAAAAATTCCATCGGATAACTTTCCATTACAAGATACGAAGGCAGACTTTCGGAAAGCTGGAGTCCATGCCAGATTACCCCCAGCCCTTTCAAGCCCTGCCGTGTCCGTCAACGAATAACCGAGAACTTTCAATGTAAACACCGGATGCCGTTGTTGAGGCTTAGGCTGAATAATTAGCTAGACTAGAATATGAATGCTTATGTCCATATTAGCCCTTTTACTAACCGGCTCTCGAGACCAAGGTAGATTTTGAGGTAGTGAGATACTTCATGACAAATCCCCATGGTCCACTTCCGTCTCTAAAACCTCCAGGCTCAAGCTACCTCCGAAGCCTAAACGCACCATCATCCTCCTGATTCGAGATAGCCCCAAGAGGAAACCTCTCCTCATCTTTAAAAGTAATAGGCGAAACGATACGCCCCGGAAACCAAACATTAAAAGCCGCAGCGCAGAGAAACATAAGCGACGTGTCAAGACAGTACAAATACACCTCCGTAGTCTGAAGCACGCCGTCCCGTCCCTCAGCGAACTCAGCCACACGAAAAATAGACCGCACCAGAATAAGAAACGAGGTGGCGTATAGCACCATGATGAACTGTCTCCACGGTCGTCGCCCGTTCATGCTCATCGTCGTCGGGTGATGTATGATTCGATAGTGGAAGACGGAGATGGTGACGATGAAGGCTGCGAAGAAGAGGATCTGGATGCCGAGACCGACGAGGATGATGTTCTGGCCGCGGTCGAGTCCGTCTTTGTCACTTGCGCCGGAGAGGATAGCTCCGCCTATTGGAGAATATAAGTCAGTGCTTCCGGGAATTTCATAGGTGACGGCAATGGAGACTGGGCTTACCAATGCACTGGAAGGCGAACGAGAACACGTCTCCGAACACAAAGATCTTCGTCATCCATCCGACGGGGATAATCGATAGATGACCCGCCTCCAACGAATCGATGATACGGCCCAGAAGCATATAGATCGAGGCCGCGTACAGTGCCGGAGCAAACAACGGCAGAAGAGTCTGGATGATGAACGGGACCTGCGAATAATTCGGTGCTTCGGATGCGTTCATTGCTCGACTCCCATATCCAATGCTTTCGACTATGTAGTAGTTAAGCAAAGATCGTTTCCCAAGGGTTTATTGGTTCCAGTAGCTTCTTACAGTTGACACCTATGAAAAAGGCGATCCAGTACCAGGTCTTAGCCCGCTTCAGTTGGATAGAGTGTATCACACCACTGATACCGAATAACACGGCAAAGGTGACTGCTGCCGCGAGGGACGGGTCGTAAGGATATTTGGAAGGCGGCTGATCCATTGTTGCACTTGTTGCTTTCTCTTTCTGAATGAAGCTTGTTCAATCTCAGCTGAATCCGCTGATTTCGAACTTCATTGTGTAACTACAAGACCCGTTCCCTTTATAAAGAGCCATGATGTGATGTCGGACTCCATTGATACGCGCCGGCTGAGCTATTCATGGTGTTTTTGCTGCAACGCCCTGTATCAACAATAACATCAGAGGTTGGTGTTGAGGCAGTGCTCGGGTTCCAATTTCCCAATCTGCTCCTAGTGTCCCCGGGGAAGATTCACTTCGGGGAGTTTAGAGTCTTCGACGTCTAAACTTGCGGGCCTTACGTAGATGCCGAGCCTGCGTCAAAAGTAAGCATACGAGATCGACAGGGGGTAGGCCGCGCTTCCGCGTTCTCCCCATACACCGATATCTTCAGGTTATGTCCGAAACGTCGCCATGGAGATCTTGACTCGGTCCTTACATTTGAGAAAATCAGCCATGATCTGGGTGACGACGCGTTAGATTATCAGTGAACCAACCTTCTCACGTCTGGAGCGTATCACGACCTGCTTCGACAGGGCTGGAAAACGCCGACCTCGTAAGAATGGGGTTGGAGGAAACCCTTTGCCAGCTGAGCATACGCGCCACCTCGCGTTCAAGTTGCTTTAGTCATCAAGCTCCAATCAACTATTCACTGTCTTGATAGGACCCTTCTTTGATGCTTTGGCAGAGTGAATCTGGTTCGAAGCTGCGAGAGAGGCCGGAATACACCCTGTGAGAGGCTTGATGATTTAAGGTTCAAGGCGCTGTGACTGCGAGCTGCTTTCGCGTGCCTTGGCAATCGTATCTCAGATGTAGCATCAATGTGTCAAGATCCTCCAGACGAACTGGTCCCTTGTCAAGCCAAAGTTCTTAATCATCATTGCCCGTCGCCCTAAGTGCAATGACAATCTCACTTGTAACTACTGTATGTGTACATGTATTTATGGGGATGTGCTTGATATTAGGTCGCTGAGAAGATAACAGCGTATTGACGGGTCTTTGCAGTTGAGTGATAGAGTCATGCGGAGTATTTGAATGTTTCCGGAAGGCTTTTGGGAGGAAGGTTGGCTTGGGGTTGAGGAGATAATCGTGCTATATTGAGATTCTCCATCAAGATGGCATAGTAAATTTGCTTTAAAAATAGAAGTCATAAATTCGTTACCTGCGCCATCTAACCAAAAAGAGTATACCGGCGAATCGTCCAGTACCTAGAGGCGACAAACCATGCCCCTAAACCTAGGCTGGGGCATGTGAAACTATAGGGTTGCCAATCCCATCCATACATGTATGCAGATCCCTTCCGGGATCGCAAAGCCAACGGAGTTCCTTTTTTTTCTATTGGGGAATAATAATGATGAAATCGTCCTGAATAACCCTGATCCGTGCTGAAAGCCAATGCAACAAAGTCCATCTCGTAGTGTACGAGGTCTGTAAATCGCCTTCTGTACGTTCAATTTCGTACTGAATAACAAGTCATGCGTCTGGCCAGCACAGGAAACTTATGTGAGAGTTGCCAGCATAGCGCGCATGATTCCAGGAGGAGGACCTGAAAACTCTCGCGTTAGCCCGGGCTCTGACTTGACGAGACGGTGACGAAGCGTACCTTAGTAGTACTTTGGTACGCTGATGGCCATCCTACCTTTCTTGTCCTTCTCAATCCGCACTCCGCGCCGCGGCTCCTCAACCTTTTCAACCTTCTCCTCGAAGAGGACTACAGCGCCATCGGGCATCTGTTCAGCACGGACGAGTTCGCGGCTCCTTCCGTGCTTGCGCTCGTGAAGCTCAGCCTCGAGAGCCTTGATCTCAGATCTGATGTTCTTGCGAGACCGAGACCGGCTACGGCGACGCTCAGCAACTGCCATGGGCCCGATGGGCACCTCTTCGCTGTACTCTCGGCGCTCGTAGACGACTGGTGTTGCGGTCGTCGACGTTGTGTAGGATGTGGAGCTGCGAGCGGGAGAGACATCGCGGATGATTGTGGTCTTGTTGACCACTTCCTGAACAGGAGCGGGTGGTGGTGGGGGAGGCGCCTCATAGTAGACAGATGGGGGAGCCGGAGGATGAGCAGAAACGACGGTTGGGGGCGCAGGAGGCGGCGCTACTGAAGCAGGCGCTGGTGGAGGAGGAGGGACATGGATGACAGTCGGGGGCGGCGGGGGGAGGGCAGCCACAGGTGGAGGGATGGTGTAGATCTCCTCGTGGCGTTCTTCATGCTTGCCAGCCGATGATCGAGCTGCGGCAATCTCCAGTTCACCTGGCATCAAGTCAGCTGCAGTCAGACGGATGAAGGGACACGGTGTCACTTACTCTGCTTGTACTCTTCGCTGAGCTTGAGGAGTTCATCGATGTTGTCCTGGCCTAGAGCCTTGAGAACAATAATGGTGTTACCCTGGGAGATCTGTTAGTCCAAAGTTGGCGAACCCAATTGAACGGGAACTTACCTCTTCAATGTAAGGATACTCTAGGTCGATGAGCGCACGCTTAGAAACCAGGCGCTGTGGGATGCGGGTCTTGCCCTTCTTCGGGTATGAGCTGCGAACAGTCGTTGCGGTCTTGGTGGTGGTGCTGGTCGACCTGCTGGAGGTGCTGCTTGATCGGGAGCTGCTTCGGTGCGAGCTCTTTCTGGTTGACCTCGACACTCTAGACTCTCGGCTGCGATCTCTACGTCGACGTGAAGTAACGACCTCACGCTCCTTCACCCGCTCAGGCATGCCACGGAACTCCTCGTCGCCATAGTAGCCTGGCTCGGCGATCTGGATCTCGTCGTATCGTTGAGATGGTGCGGGGCCCAGCTGGCGAGTGCGGGGCAGAGGGATTGGAACGTATGGAGGGGCCCGGTAATCGTCGCGAGGGCGAACATCTTCTCGGCGGGCTGGCGGAGGGTATTCCTCACGCTCATAAAAGCGGAGGGGGCGACGGTCAAAGGTGTCGAGGGAAGACTGACGACGGAGCATGGTCGGGCGGCGTGGTGGCGAGGCCTCACGGACTTCTCTTTGCTCTTTTTCGAAGAAAAGGCGGCGGTCAAACTCCCGGTCCAGGGGCTCTCCGCGACGAGGACCATAACGGTCTTCCTCGACGTAGCGACGGTCTCTTACAAAATCTTCTTCGTATCCGCCGCGATGTCCGCGGTCCAATGGGCCGCGGTCGAAGCGCTCATCTGAGTGATCTCTGCCACGGCGAGGCGGTGGGCGATAGTCGTCACGTTCCTCGAAGCGGCTTCTCTCTTCAAATCTGCTTCGTTCGTCGGGATAGCGACGATCATCTGGATAGCCGCGGTCTCGCTCCCGTTCTTGCATGAAGCGGTCGCGGTCCCAGCGCTCAGCACGGCCGGCCATTTTGATTGATGGTTAACGTATGTGTGGTTGAAAGTGAAAGTAAGGTCGATCTCGGGTATCACAAAATATTGCTGAAAAATAGCGGTGGTCGTGGAATTAGAGACCCGGGATGTCACAGGTGATGGGCTGTTCCCGGGAAGTTGTGGAATGATCGGGTGATGGCAGGAGTTCGTGGTTGTGAATCTCGAGAGAAGTCGCTCGTATTGCAATAGTCGAGAATCAGGGCGATGACGACACCTCTAGGGAGAGAGGGACAGAAGAGAGCGAAGAAAGAGGGGAAAAGCGGGAATAATGTGTGTGATCCAGTGTCGCAGCAGAGAGCGAGTGAGTGAGTGGTGGATTGGCTGGCCCCCTAACGTAAGGTATGCGAACCCAGGCTAATAGCGCCGGTAGTGTCGGTGAAGGCCGTTGACCCGCCTTGGGTCCAGAGGGCTATTTTGGAATTTGGATTGGATAATGGAGTAGCGGCGCCGCCCTGCGTTGGAGTGGCGTGCGAGTGGCTTCTTCCAGGGTTTATGAGACTGGTATGTGACACTGTAACACTGACAATGTATGGTCTAAGGTGCGCAACGTCTGCGGCGGTGATGAGTGAGTGAGTGGGTGAATGAGTGAGGCAGGCAATGAACCCCTCTTTGTCGTTTGGCTGACTGATGTATGGTAGTGGGCGAAGACGGGTGATGCGATGGAAAGCCGGACTGAACTCGACAAGTGACTGGACTCGGTGTTCTAGACTCTCTTGTGTGTCGTGTGTGGTGGTAGGCGTGGGTGGTAATCGGCCTATGAGAAGGCAATGTGAAGCCAGGAAGCAACCTGGAACTCTACCAGCTGACCTCACGAAAATGGGCCTGTGACAGTAGACCCGATGATGGTCCTCCGTCTACTCGACACTCCCCAACAACGATCCTGGAACTAACTGTTCTTGCTGAACCACCGGAGCTGCGAAAATGTGATGCGGGCACTCGCACTGGTCCAAGTCGTGAATTGTGTCGTTTTTAAGGGTCCTTGCGAAAAGAGAACAGACGGGCGAAAAGGTGGTGGCTGGGAAGAAACGAGGCGGTTTTGTAGTTTTAGTCTTGGACACGACGGAGATTTGTGGTGGAGTGGAAAAGCAGGCTTCTTGGAACGACGGACGGAAGCCAGGACAGGGTTGGCTTGGTTCGTCAGACTGAACGAGGAAGATGGTGGTGTTGGCGATGCTGCTTGAGCGATGATCCCAGCTTGTCTGGCCTTCTCTGGATGGTCCAACGGTCTGGTAGGGAGAAGATGGCCGCTGTTAGTTATGCGACGGACGGATGGCCCGCAGCTCTCCCGCATGATGGCAGAAACACCAATAGGGATGCAAAAGTGCATCCGAACTTGATATCCAAAGCCTGTTTCATCGTTGGACAAGCTGTTGACCGCAGCATGGCATTTTGCGCGAGGAGCGACAGTGATTATCGGTCCTTAACGAAGGCCATCAGCGCCGTATCGGTCATCGCATCCGCCATCCAAACCTGGCGGGAGACTAGAGGGCTGTGGCAACAAGGCTACTCCTTGTAGAAAGCCCTTCCCGAGGCCTGCGTCGTTGCTTTTCGCTGCGATTCTGCCCATCTGACCATTCCAGACCCGGTCCAACGCGGCCTTTAGCCTCAGTGTCCCAGCCCGCTTTTGTGCCCTCTCGAACCTGACGTCGCCGCTTGGGCAGCCATCGACGGGGCGCCTGTTTGGAAAAGCGCAGCCAGGAGTGAGTCCAGGACTCCATTGAGTCCATTCCGGGCCAGATCTGCCAGGCTGCGCACAGCGGGATCCCCGTACGGAGCCATGGAGCCCGCTATGGGTATCCCATCATCCATGGACCGCGGTCCCGTCATTGGGCTTGAACGGATCGACGGGAAATGGAGAGAATGGGGGATGCCAGACAGCCGGATGGGTGGGTGGGAAAAGAGGTTAATTGTCGTCCGGGCGGCGTAACAATGGGATGGGCCGACGTTGGAAACTTCCAAACTCTTCTTCGCTGTCAAGTGTCTCGTCCTTTCGTCTCGTCTGCCCTCTGGCATTGCGTTCGCTCCCGCCTCGGCCCTTGCCTTGCGCTTCCTCTTCCGCAGAACACAGTTGGAAACTGGTGGGCTTCTCTGCCGTCACTGTGCCTGTGCTGCGACTCGCTGCGCCAACATGCCTTGCTCAGCTTTGTCTCTGTGGGGGTTCGAGTTGACCGCCACCCTGCTCGATGACGTCGGGTACCAAATTTTGGTGCGGTCTGCACTCTAGACGCTGTGTGCCCATTGCCCAACCAGCCCGCCGCCTGGTCTGGTCTGGGGCACTGTGGCAACGATAAGGCGTCTCGGTGTAGTGTATGGGCTATCAGAGTCGCGAATCGAGAGCCGTGGTGGGTGTGTGAGAGGGGCCCTTGGACTCTGGAGCCTTGGGAGAATTGTATTTCTCCACTGTCGAAGCGACTTGGGTGCCCGATGGCGGCCCTATTGGCCGTTGAGGGGACGTTGGGAACCGGGGTGTCCCCCATTCCGGGGGAGCATTTGTAGTTTGCGCTTGTGATTTTGGCATTGTTCTCTTTGTGCGCGGGCTATTGCTTGTCAAATTACAGTTTTACCTGCCATTGCCCTCTACCTGTTGGACACGGAGTTAATACTGTTAAAAACTCGCACAGCGACGCGGGTGAGGCTGACTCGATGGCATACGGGAATCGGATGAGGCGAGGCAGCTTTGCAACTGTGCATTGTTGTCTGGAAAAGAATGCCGTGCTTGGTCTCGTCGAGTTGTTCGTCGCGTCCAACCATTGTACGGATACGTACTTTGCTGTCTGAGGTTAGGTACCTGAGGTAAGTACGCTAAGGTACCTTACTCCTTCCCTCGACTCTGAGGTGCGTTATCTGGTCCGATACGTACCTGCTTATGTCACGAGAGATAAGATAAGAGAGTGCACGTGTGAGTTCCGCCGAGGTGGGTCATATTTGCCCAATCAAACCAAGTCTTCGATACGTGCTCGAGTCTGAAATCCTATTGGTCCAAACGGAGGAAGCTCAGACGATGCTCCCCCTCTCAAAGTTCTCAACCCATTAACCACGAATCCACGACTCTATTGCTATCGTTCGTTTCCATCATACCTTACTGTGTACCTAGCAACATCTGGGGACTCCCCAGCTCTACCGCGGATTCTAGACCGGACTGCCGTTTGAAGGGGCCATTACCCATTACCTGGCCGTTGCTTTCTCATACCAAAACTCTCAAAGAAACTTCAATCAACCCGTTCCATCCCACAGCCAGGACGCTCACCTAGGACCGACCATCTCGAGTCAAGCACAGCACGTTGCGCGAAGAGACCATGTGTTTGGTAGAAATTCACCCGCAGCCCTCGCACAACCGTTCGGGCGACCACATCTCCGGAATTTGATGTACTTTGAGGTCTCAAGGAACACACGAGCGGCCTTAGTCGATGCGTTGAGTGTGTCTCCAAGAGATATTGTCTACGCCATCTCGCGTGGGACCATGTACGGAGTACAGCCACGGCCCAGCCTGGCGGAATTCGACGCTATCGACGTTAAGCTTAGCTTTTCCCGCTTCTCCAGGTTCTGGGCTTCGGATGCGTCCCTTTCCTTCCCCGGATCAGCTCCCCCCATCAATTGCCATAGCCGAACGGGGTTTCTATCTTGGACAATCATCAGTCTTGGTTAATAACATCGCTTTGCTGGATCGATGACCAATTGGGCAAGAATTCGCCGAAGCTGCCATGGACAACAACAGTTGTTCGCTCGGATGACGCCAAAAATGACCACCCCCGCGAAACGAGATGAGGCATTTCATTTGCCAAGAGAAAACGCCCATGGTCTGCCTTGTAAGCTCGGAACCCGTTAACACAAGCCGTGAATGCGTTCCGTACGGCGCAGAGCACCAACCCCGCCAGACCAAGTCGCAAGGAGAGGACTTCCGAAACCCCCTTTCCGATAGTCGATGAATCCAGATCCGATGAAAATGTACGCCATCACAATGAGGAATTTGGCGCCTTCTTATACCACCGGTCGTTCCGAGCTAGCGGAATACTCAACAACCCGTTGACCTGTTGCGGATTCAGGAACGAAAATGTACAGGCGGACTTTCCGAGGGGCGGATATCCCGGATTTCAGAGCGGTCTTCACTGCAAGCAGAAGCCAGCGAAACGCCTCAACAAGCCAAAGATCAGCTGGCCACAGCATCCGAACACCAAAAGCAAAGTTGGAGAAATGGAAGTTGGGGGTCGACCTGTCGAAAGCAAGAGGGGTAGGGGGGAGACAGCAACGTGGTGTCCCAGCCTATTCACAACCATGGACGACTAGACGACGACTAAACTCCGCCGGACCCCAATTTGAGTTCCATCACCACAAGTCCAAGGTTGGCACGTCGCAATAGCGGATGAAGCCGCGCGCGTTCATGGGAAAACCAACTCAACCATTCGCGACATCTTCCAATCGGCTCTCCGGAGGTCTTGCATCTGATATATGATGCGGCGCTCAAACCCCGTGCTTGACAAGGTCCAGCTACCTAGTTCGCATCCGCCCCACGCACGCCCGCACGAACGGCAGCTGCAACTTATGCCCGGTGAGGGTTCTCTCCCGTACAGATGCAAGCCCGAATCTAAAGTCCGCGGCCTGTAATCTAAGCTCATGCTCAGTTTGCCGACTAGGAGTGCCGATATTCACTCCCGAAACGTGTCGGGAATGGAGCGTGATCTGCATTCCTCCCCAGTTACGCCGAGTTGAGCCTAGTCGACATGGAAGGCTGGACAAGGGCTGCTTGCGATCAAAGCCGTTGTCGACGAGTCTGGAGGGAGAGAGGCACAGAAGCTGGCGCAATGTGATGCTCTATTCGGGAAGCTGCAGTTCTGGCATCTGCTTATCGGCACGGCTGCAAGAGAAGACTCGGTCAAATATTCGTGTCTGCTGCTGCGGTTACCTCGAAGCAGCAGCTGCTGCAGCGCGTAAACATACATCCATCTCATCACATCGCCAATCTTGCACCATTGTTGCTTGTTCGCCATCCCTGAGACTGGCATCGTTGCAACGGTCGTAGCAGACCCAAATTACCATCTCAACACGTCATCAGAGTGAGCATCTTCCTCACTGGCTGGCATGTCCCCCGATGTGGGAGTGGAATGGATCCGATAACATGGGCCGCGGTCCTGCAAGTGGTGCTTGGTGCTGGCTTGGTGCCGTTTCCCGAGCTCGTACCCGATGCAGATTGGATGTGAAAAGAGGCGGTCCGCTCTGGTGGATGTCTACCCCGCGTTGTTTGGTGTGTGGGATAACCCGTCTGGGGTAGCTAGGTGCCACGCCTCCACCTCCAATCTGGGACAAGGGGGAAAGACAAGGCTCGCTAATGAGATATCTATCTCGCCAGCCTGGACCAGCCTACGGGATTTCCAGCTGGCCCCCTTGAGACAGTGTTTTGTTGAGTCAGTCGTCTCGACATTGAAAAGGGTCCTTCGTCCCCTGCCAGATTCGAGAGCTTCTCGACCCCAGGATACTTCTTCGATACCACGCCGAAGTCGACATTTCGCTCACAAAGGCATTCGGCTGAGCGACGCACCGCGTTCTCCTTTCATCATGAGTAACGATAAGCCTACCGTCGAGAACGTCGACGACATCAACGCCAAGATGGCGCAAAGGTCCTCGTACGACGCGAAGCTTGACCCGGAAAAGTAAGACACGTACAGCGCACTACTATCCAGAAACCTGGTTGACCCTCTATCGTCAGGCACACCGAGCAGTCTCTGGCGTACGACCCGACCGTAGAGAGAAAGCTTAGACTGAAGATCGATCTCATGATTGTGCCGACGGTCGCTCTGCTTTACCTCTTCTGCTTCATTGACAGAGCCAATATTGGTTTGTCTTTCGCCCCGTTACCATGTTGACAACGACTTACAATCCCCCCCAGGCAACGCGCGCATCGCAGGCCTCGAGAAGGACCTCGGCATGGCAGGCTACGACTACAACGGAACCCTCAGTGTCTTCTACATCAGCTACATTCTCTTCGAAATCCCCGCCAACATCCTCTGCAAGGTCATGGGGCCTGGATGGTTCCTCCCCCTCACCACCTTGCTCTTCGGTATCTGCTCAGTCGGCACTGCTTTCGTCCACACCGTCCCACAGCTCATGGCAGTCCGATTCCTCCTCGGCATTTTTGAGGCTGGCATGTTACCAGGTATCGCCTACTACCTGTCTCGTTGGTACCGACGATCCGAACTCGCCTTCCGCCTCAGCTTGTACATTGTTATGGCGCCTTTGGCTGGAGCCTTTGGTGGTCTCTTGGCCTCTGCCATTCTTCGCCTCGATGGATTCGGAAGCATCCATACATGGCGCATGATTTTCGCCATCGAAGGAATCATCACGATTGGGCTGGCACTCATCGGCTTCATCACCCTGACCGACCGCCCTGCTTCTGCTCGTTGGCTCACTGAGGCTGAGAAGGATCTCGCCGAGACCCGTGTTCGCTCTGAGCGTGTTGGTCAGACCCAAGTCCTGGATAAGATGGACACCAAGAAACTTCGTCGGGGAATCTTCGCACCTGTTACGTTGGCAACATCGTTTGTCTTCCTTTTGAATAACGTCACTGTCCAAGGTCTTGCCTTCTTCCTGCCGACGATCGTCAGGGGTATCTACCCCACGGCGACTGTTCAGCGCCAACAACTCTTCACCGTCCCTCCCTACGTTGTAGGAGCCTTCTTCACTGTCCTATTGCCACTGCTCAGCTGGCGCCTCGACCGTCGACAGATCTTCTTCATGATGTCCGCACCGCTAGCAATGGTCGGTTACATCATGTTCCTGGCTTCGAAGGACCTCTCGGTGCGCTACGGTGCCACTTTCCTCATCACATCAGCCGTGTTCGCCCTCGGCGCCCTCACAAACGCCCAGGTCGCCGCGAACGTCGTGTCCGACACGGCACGCAGCGCAGCGATTGGAACAAACGTCATGTTTGGCAACGTGGGAGGACTCATTTCAACTGTAGGATTTACCCCTTCCGCTTCGAAGCCTTTGATTGCATACTAACTCGTGGTTTTAGTGGGCTTTCTTGCCGTGGGACGCACCCAACTACCCAATCGGTAACGGATTGAACCTGGCGACGTGCAGTATGATTTTGATTACCTCGACTCTCACGTTGTTCTGGATGAAGCGAGACAACCGCAGACGCGAGGCCCGAAATGTCGAGGCTGAGTTGCAGGGCTTGTCGAGACAAGAAGAGAGTGATCTGGACTGGAAGCACCCTGCTTTTAGGTGGAAGCCTTAGATGGCCCCAGGAAGCGAGGAATATTTGCTTAAAGGATCGAGCTATACAATGCGACAAACTTACCGTCGAATTGATTATACCATCACATGACATTACGTGTATTCTTTCATACGCATTTGACCGTTTCTTTTCCCGTTTAATATGCTATCCAAATTACCGTTCAAGTATTTTCAACAGGACCCTGAAATCGAAAGTCGGTAGGTACGACTGACTACCTTACCTGTCCTGGGTCCTTCCACTGGTACGAGGCTGCCTCATTCGTGGGGGGGGGCTCCTTCTGGTTCTCTTTGGTTTTGTTTTCTTCCACTGACCTCGCCCTTTCAACACCATCTATCACATCCATCAACCGGAGTTTGACACACATCTCTCTCCCACATCAAACTCTAGCGTCACGACACACAATCTGCAGCCATGACTACCCCCACTGGAACAGAGTCACCCAATCTCCGCAGAGGTAAGCCAGCCCCATTGCCTCGCCCAGCAACTTCCCCATATTAATATCTCGCAGAAGAACTCGAATCGCGGTTCAAGTCAGTCCTGAAATTGTCCAATTTCGAAGCTTCACGCTCATACGTGGAGAAGAGTGCTGCCGCGCTGCTTCTAGAACCGGGACTTCTTTCTAGAGAACAATCCGTTCTGCATTGCTTGCTCACAGATGTCCCCGAGGGCTACGTCGAGCACGCAGAAGAAGCGCTTCGGCATGCCAACCTAGCCATATCCACCATGTCGATCCTCGACCATGGCATTTGGGATGATGCGGAGCCATTGATCACACTGTTGGAGATGAGCTTGGAGAAGGCACGTAACTTCAAGACCGTCATCGACCGCGTAGTAAAGGAGAGAGTGTAAGTACCACTTCTTCCTCCCATTCGTACCCGATTTTGAACGCGAGGCTGATGCAACTGGAATAAACAGGGTCAACACAGAACTCATGGTGAATCTCATTACCAATGAGGATAAGCTGAAGCTGTTCCCCGAGCGGATGCGATCCATGGACCACCTCAAGCCGCGACCAAGAACAACATCTGTCTCGATGGAGCGCCTGCTTATGATCCCGAGACGAGTTTACTTCTCAAAGACCTCCTTGCTCGTCTGCGATCCGCCAACAAGGCGCCGGAAGTCGCTCCCGAGGAACCCCCTTCCGAGGAAGCTACCCCCAATGCCCAAGAGACCGATGGCAATCCTCCTGGTGGCGGCGAATAAGCCAGGATCCATCTAGGACGGCTTGCACAAACTCCCATTCTCCAAGGCGGACTCTGGAAGTTTCCTGCTGTCAACTTTGTTGGCCGGCATGGATGGCGTTACGACAAGTTCCTCTTTCCTTGTATGTATCCGCACCCGAGTGTCAGAGTGTTAATACTTACGAAGTGCTAGAGAATAATGACGATATTCTGGCTTTGGTGTCTAGTGGACGCGTGTCTTGGACGGCTAGTATAGACTCTCATTCTGGGTCAGTCGTACTGGGCTGTCGCACTTGACGGTCTGTGTGGGTATTGATGAGAGCGGGACTCTTGTTCCTCTCGATGGAAGTGAAGCCCGGGGAAGCGCAGTGGGTCTGCAGAGGATAGGCTTTATCTTATAATACACAAGAGAAGCAGCCATGCGCTGTCAAATAAAAATTGCTATTCAATACTATGTGCAGGCCTAAATATCCATCTAAAACGCTTCATCCAAAATTCCTAGGTACAGAAACCACCACCACCTCACAACTTACTCTTCCCCGGCGCACAGCACGACTCCCCAGCAGCCGCACCCCCGGTGAAAGCAAGCTTGCTCACCCCATCCGCCGCCTCCAGCGCGCCCTTGCCGGCAGCGACCTGGCTTGGGGTACTGCAGTAGCTAGGCGGGACGTCCATGACGGGGTTGCTGGCGAAGAAGTTGCGGGGGCGCAGGAGGAGGGTGATGGGTTCCACGGGCATGATGGGGAAGTCCTCGGGCGCGGGGATGTGGGTTACGCCGAACGTGTGCCAGAGGACAATGTCTTCTTGCTCGATGGACTCTGTGCCGTCGCCGATCCATTCGGGAATGCCGGAGGAGGGCTCGCCTGAGGTTTGGGGGACGTGGCGACCTGCGGGCCAGAGTTCGTCGTCGCGGTCTGTGGGGCTTGGTCAGCTTTTGTTCACGCTGGGGAGTTGATAGAAGAATGAGAAGGGGAGAGGTGGAGAAAGGGGGAGGGACTTGCACTTTGTGACGTGCACAGCGTGTCTGGCAAAACCAGCACGCTTCCACACCAACGACCCCTCCTTGGGTAACAACCCAGGAACCTCCCTACTAACAAGCTTATAACTCGCCGGCTTCCCGCTGTACGGATGCAACTTATCCGTATTCGCAATCTCCCACGTGCGGCTCGTCGACCCGTCGTAGTCGGTCCTCGATTTCCCCGTGGTATCGAGCTTGGTCTTCTTCGCGTAAAAGGCGTTTCCGTAAAAGTTCTCGGGGGACCCGGCGGGCGCGTCGGAGGCGACGGCGTCGGCGACGAAGACTGTGTTGCGGGGGCCGTCGATGTTGGCGTCGACGCGCAGGCAGAAGAGGTGCTGGTGGTTGTGGGCGTTGACGCCCGGGTAGACTTGGGTGCCCCAGCCTTTTGTGTCTTCGCCTGGGTTGAGGGAGTAGGTGTTTAGGATGCCGGTGAGTTTGATTTCGGGCTGGATTGTACCGTCTTGCTGGTGGGGTGTTAGCTACGTTTCTGGGAGAGTAAAGGGTACGAGGGGATGGGGCCTACGTGGAAGATCCATTGGATTGCGTATTCGTAGTTTGCAGCGGTAAAGATTTGCTGAATAATGAGCTTGCGGCCGCGGGTGACGATGACGGAGTCGTCGCGGAAGTCGGTGTGCTTGAAGAGGATGCCGCTGTCCTCCTCGTGGATGCAAATGGCGTTCTTGATGGTGCGCACGCCGCCGTTGCGGGTGGGGAACTCGGCGTCGAGGTAGTGGATCTCGCCCTTGCAATCGCAGCCCAGCGAGAGACTGTTCGTCATGTATCCGGCGCCGTACTCGCCGAGGTCAAAGGCGTGCTTACGCTGGTGAGGGTGCTCCGGGTTTCCGTAGGGGACGACCATTTCCGCGAGGGACAGACGGTAAAAGATGGGGCGGACGTTGCCCTTGTCGTTGTAGGTGATATTGCTGAGGACGATGCCCTCGCGGTAGTTGAAGCCAATGTGGAAGTTCCAGTTCTGCCAGGAGATCTGGCGGCCTTGCATCTGGAAGGAGACGCCCTGGGGCTGAGTGATGTTGATGGGCTTGAGGTCGGTGCGGTAGCCGCCGGACTGCTTCTTTACGGCGGCCGGGGTGTAGTCTACGGGGGCGGCCTTGCTGAGGGGCCGGCGGATGGTGGGGATGTCGATGGCGATGATGGCCTGCTTGTCGGCGTCGTAGATGGGGCAGAAGTCGAGGGGGTACTGGTACTGGCAGGTGTCCGGGTCCGGGCGGTAGTACATGAGGGCCTGCTGGAGGCGGATGGTGTTGCCGTGGCGCTCATCGTAGCCGATCGTCCAGGGGTCGCAGTAGACCTTGTGCATGTCGGATTTGGGGATGCCGGAGATTTCGCACTGCTCAATGACTTTGGGGTCGGTGCGGCAGATGTGTTCGACGATTTGGAGCTCTTCCATTGTGATCTGTGGTTGTGGTGTTAGTCTTGATTTCGCGAGTGCCACAATCGTGGTGAAAGGGAACTGACAATGGGCTGCACGCCCTGCATGAGCTCCCACTTGGTAATGGCGCCCGAGGCGAGGTCAACGAGGCCGTCGTAGACTTTGCCGCCCTTTGCGATGACGACGACGTCGGCGATGCGGGCGGGGAGGGGTTTTGTCGAGGGTGAGGCGAGCCATCTTGTCAATTCAGCCTTGCGGGGTTCGTGGAGGGAGACGACGTTGAAGAAGACGTCGCCGTGGGCCTTTGTGACGGCAGCGATGGCCTTTTCAATCTCTGCAGAAGAGAGGGGATCTAGAGGGTGCAGCGGTGCCATTGTGTATGTCTCTGTGGTGTGTGAAGATTCTCTGCGTGTGTGGTGTACAGGCTTCCTTGTCACAGAGAGAGAGAGGTGTTGCGAGAGGTCAATGGCGAGAGTGGAGGGTATTGAAAGAAATGCGATTGATTGAAGGGATGTCGAGGTCTAGATAAAGCTACAGCTTATATCTCCAAATCGATCAAGGGGATCCCCAGAGTGAGGCCCCTCACCCCTCTTCTCCCGGCCAGGAGCGCGCAAGATAGGCGCGCTCTCTGGGTCTCATCCGATGCGCGACTCATCCCTCCAAGACCAGCCGGATCAGGCAATGCAAGCCCATGGTGACCTGGGGTACTCTCCGGGGGCCGTTCAGACGACAGACGTGGTGTGCCGTACCTTGCAAAAACGATGTGGCGCGTCATGCCAATTGGCAATTGGCAAAGGCGTTGTAAGCCGTTTGGATTGGATAAGTCAAATCATTGGATACGGTGGAGAAGTCGGAATTGGTTTGATAAGAGCTTTAGCTTTAGCCTCTTAGTTATGCGGAATTGAGGTACAGGATAGGATGTAAGTTGTAAGGCGTGGTCAAGGTTTCGTCTGGTCGACCAGATAAGGACGGTCGCACACAGACTGTGCATTAGCTGCGAATTTCCGACGGTTCTTCTCCAGGGACTCGAGAGAACTCCTAGAAACTCCAGGTTAGCTCAAGCGCGGGGGACCATGGAGGAATTGTTGGTCTTCGAAAGTGATGCAAAAGAAAAAGAGACATGGAGGGGAGAAGCGACCAGAAAGTGGGGGGGAAGGACGTGACGAGGGGCTGGATGGGGAAACCCTAGACGATAAGCTCTGGCGCTCCAACCTCCGGGTGTCCTTATCAGAGGTGGACCCTCTAAGACCCACTCTCCGGGACCGGAGGTGTCGGTTTACACGGCTGTTTTGGTGGGGCTCTGCTCGGAACCGCAGGCGCTGCCAGGTTCGGGCGAGCGGTGACTGGTCTGGCCACTCAGCAGACGCCGGGTAAAATCGCCTATTTGAGTTTAGTTTTGCCTTCTGACCACTCAGAATGAGGACGTGAGTTGTCATCGTCGAATGCTTTACCTAAGGCAACCTCAATCAACCTCTGGAACTCATTCATCTCACCGATAGGACTAACCCTTTTCTTGCCCAAAAGTGCGAAGATGCGAAAGTGCGAAAGTGCGAAAGGCGGGCTGGACATTAGAGCCTTGGATCAGGCCCCGATCCCTACGGCAGGATATCTAGCTCTTTTGAAGTCGTTCTTGATGGAGTAACCTGCCACACAAATCGTGCAGCAGCATGTTATCGCGCCAATGTGGGATAGTCTGGGCCCTGCGACGGGACGCCACGTGCCGTGCAGCCATGCCTTGAACGCAGTAATCCAGGCACACTACAGCGCGGTCTTGGACTCTGTATCAATGTTAGTGGGCAACTCAATTACTCCGCAGGATCACCTTACCTTGGCGATGGACGTGACCAGTTGCAGCAAAGCCGTGAGGGCAGAACGACGATGGAGGCAGGTGGCACAATGTCCGATGCATCGGAGTTAAGGGGTGTTCGTGATGACGTCAGCAAAATTTCTGCCAGCGATGCGCTCACCCAATGCCTCAATTGTGACTTCGGCCTGGTGGAAGCTGAATGGAACATCATTAGCCACACCGTCTGACCCAAGGTATTATTTGGGCAAAGTTGGACCCCTGACTCATCATCGGCCTGTTTGGAATAAGGTACGTCTCTGTTCTCCATCATCCGGTCAACCTTGAGATTGTGGCAACCAACCAACCGAGCCACAGCATAGAGTCATCCTCAAATCCAAGAGTCACCGGCATTGAGGAAACCATTGAGGCACCATAAGGTAGTGAGGCGCAAAAGCAATTGCCCAGTCTCTCTTCAGGACAAATCTTACGTCCAGATTGCATGGTCAAGAGTTTGCAACGTAGACTCCAAATAGGATATTTCAGTTTCCGGAGCATCAAAAGCATTCTACTGTCTAGACACTCGACAGTTACAAGTTCCCCGGATCTACCCCGGGCCCAGATTTCCCCGGCCCCGGTTCCGACGCCGTCCTTCCCAACTCCCACTACCCACCCTATCAAGACATTACCTTCGCCAGACGTCGCAATGGCCACATTTGCAACCCCCCTGCCGCAATCAAGCCGGTCCGAGATCCTCGAATGGCGCTTCCCAAAACCCTACCACCAATACGTCCTGACCGGCAAGTCTCGCGCAGCATGGCACACCTCCTTCGTCATCCCCCAACTCAACCTTCTCCTCGACGCAGGCCTCGTCGTGAATAATCTACGCCCAAAACACATCTTCATCACCCACGGCCACTCAGACCACTGCCTCCTCGCCCCAGCCTTCACCAAGCGCGAAGACCCGCCAGACATCTTCTGCCCCGTCGAGATGAAGAAGGCCTTTGACGACTTTTGCCTCGCAAAGACCCTCCTCAACCGCGGCGGTCTCACAACCAGCAGCGACGCCGAGGCTGTGGGTCTCAAGGTCGACGGCAAGGGCACCGACGAGGAGGGCAGGACGGAAGGGGAGAGGGCCTTTCTCGGCACGCACGTCACGACGGCCGTCAGACACGGCGACGTGGTGCCGCTGCGGCGGCTCAAAGGCATGGACGCCCTCGTCTTTCAGTGCGACCACAACGTCCCCGCCGTGGGTTACGTCTTCCGGACCACGACGCATAAGCTCAAGGCCGAGTATACCTCGCTCCCCGGCCCGGAGCTCAAGAGTCTGCGGCAGTCGGGCGTGGAGCTGACGGCACCCGTGACGACGCCCGTGTTTGCGTTTCTCGGTGATACGACGGCATCGACGCTGGCTGCTGAGCCGGAGTGGTTGGTGCAGGGGATCCCGGTGGTGATTACCGAGTGCAGTTTCTTGTATGATGAGCATGATGCGCAGGCGGAGAAGACGAAGCATACCAAGTGGAAGGATCTCGAAAAGGTGGTGCGCAAGTGGCCCAAGACAACGTTCATTCTGACGCATTTCAGTATGCGGTATAGTAACAAGGATGTTGTTGCCTTCTTCAATGGGTTGGAGGATCCGCCGAAGAATATTGTCGTTTGGGCTGATGGGCAACCGGAGTAAAAGGGTCAGGTGGGCTGGAGACAGCATTGATAGAGGTCATTTGTCTAAACCGAGCAAGATTTGGGGTTTTTCTAGATGGGTAGACACAAGACACCATTAAAGCATTCACAGACCGGCTGTTCTTAATAGACACTTTGTTAGATTCCAATCCCTTGGACAACGCTAATGTAATGAGGCATAGATATCCAAACCTCCCGAAACGCTCTTCCAACCAGGCGCGAGATCACATCCCTTTCAGTCAACTGAACAACACGAGCCGACACTCACTGCACCTTCATCCCAGCAAACACATCACTCGTCATAGCCGTCCACAGATCCATTAAATAATTCTTCCTCGGCGCCCACCGCCCCGACCCAGCCTTGGGAAACACCTTGGCCGCGTTCCGCACGTACGTAGACTTGAGCGGCATCATCGCGTTCGGCTTCATATTCGGGTCCTCGAGCAACGGCGTCACCGACCTCAACCCCTTCTTCTCCATCCCGCGCCACAACCTCACCAAGAACGAGCTCGTCGCCTCCGCGCCGAGCGTCCACGAGGCGTTGGCGTACCCGAACACGTAGGCCATGTTCGGCATGTCCTGCAGCATGCATCCCTTGAAGGCGAATTTAGTGTTGGGATCGACGCGCCGGCCGTCTACGGAGAGGGCGATCGAGCCGGCGAAGCGGATCTTTAGACCTGTCGCTGTGACGATGATGTCTGGGTGGAGAACCCGTCCCGACTTCAGTACGATGCCGGAGCCCGTCACCTCCTCGATAGTATCCGTCACCACGTCCGCCTTACCAGACCTCAGCGCCTGATAAAAGTCTGAATTCGGACACACGCAAAGACGTTGTTCCCAAGGGTTATACCGTGGCTTAAAGTGCGGATCGAGCGGGATATTCGGCGGTAACTGCTTCTTTGCCGCGCCCAGCAGGAACCGGCGCGCGGAGCCGGGGAACCACTGGCAGTAGTAGTACAAGAAATACGACAACATGAAGTACTGCACGCGCAAAATCCGGCTCGAGACGGATTTGGGCAGGATGGAGAGCATGAAGCGCTGCAGGCCGGCTTTACGGGAGGGCATGCCGATGATGTAGGTCGGGCTGCGCTGCAGCATCGTCACGCGCGCAGCGTCGGTGGCGATGTTGGGGAGGAGTGTCACGGCCGTGGCGCCGCTGCCGATGATGACGACGTTTTTGTTGGTGTAGTCTAGGTCCTTTGGCCAGAATTGCGGGTGGACAAGTTGGCCTTGGAAGGTGTCGATGCCGGGGATCGCGGCGGCGAGGGGCTGTTCGTAGTCGTAGTATCCTGTGCCGAGGACGACGAATCTCGCGGCGATTGTCTTTGTCTGTTGTTGCTTTTCCCCATCACTCCCTCCCGCCACAGAGGTCTTGAGGATCCATCGGCATGTTGCCGAGTTCCAGTCCGCGGAGGCGACTTGGTGGTTGTATTTTATGTGTCTGTCGATGCCGTGCTCCGAGGCTGATTCTTCGAGGTAGGCGCAGATTTCGGGGCCGCCCGCGAGGGGGTTCTCGCCTTTCCATGGGTTCCATGAGAAGCCAAAGGTGTATATGTCCGAGTCGGAGCGGATGCCGGGGTACTGAAAGAGGTCCCACGTCCCGCCCATCCGTGGACGGCCTTCGAGGATGGCGTAGCTTGCGTTTTTGGGGCCGTGAGATTGGAGGTAGTATGCGGTGTTGATGCCAGAGATGCCGGCGCCGATGATGATATAGTCGTAGATCTCGTCTACCTTGAGGTCTGCGGGATGAGTTGACGCCATTGTGATGGTGTTTTTAGTACACATACGTTTACGGTATAACGAACAAGAAGTTCATATGAGACGTTACACATGGGGCTCTTCCACCTTTTGTATGATTCATGTGAAGGACTATCTACTACATGAAAAGCATACCCACCTCGCACTATCTAAACCAACCAGTGTCCGACCGTGGCGAGGGTCCTACGCTCAGATTTCCTGATTAAGGGTCGCAGAAACGCAGAGTTGCCGAGGCTTGCGAGATGGGATGAAACCTACAAACCCACGTCCAATGTGTTTCTCGACTTGTTTTACCAAGCAACCCGTCACACGAACGGGGGAAAGGGGGAGCTCGGGGCATCGGCGTGTTCGTTCGGCCTCCGTTTCTCTATGGAAGACCCGCGTGTGGTGCATACTATGTCAAAAGACCATGATTCATACATGGAAGTAGGTAATTGGTGGTGAGGGGAATAGGCGTGGCCAAGCAAAGGACTGCATGAACCCACCTTACACAACTGAGTTGTCAAATATGTGGGTTTGGACCGTGTAGTTGTCATTGTTGCTCTAAGTGTGACTTCACCTCTCTCCTACGGGCGTCCGCGGGTGCGGAGAGAATACTAGTGTCTCAAGAACAACCCCATTGCCCCCACGCATTGACCTAGCTTTTCCAAGTTGCCTCGGCTGTTGATCTCGCTTTAGACGCGATCATGAGATCGGATGACGACCTTTAGGACGAGACGGCGCCCGGAAAACGACACCCCCGATGAGACAACGTGGATGCAGCTTTCCGAATGCGAGAGTCCCATCTCGGTCGGTGCATGTGCGGGGCCTCCGTTGGACTTATAATCTCCCCGATCGGCTCCGGGCCGTATGAGTGCTCTCCCGTGCGAGGACTAGGCTCCTCCCGCCCCCGCCCCCCGCATCTTTACTTGACAATCGGCCATCCGGCAATCGCGGAAGATTGAAGATAAAGCTTGGTATCTTGCATCTGACCCCGTGGGGAAAGCGCATTCTTAGTGAGAAGTATAAAGATAGTTCTGATGTTAATAACAACTTAACTTGGATGACTGACTTGGTTTCTTCCCAGCTTAAGACCCTGAGCCCGTGTCTAAACAGCTATTGAAAGGCTCCCCAATTGAGAGATTTTCTTGAGAAAAAGCTTGAACAATGCTGCAAGGAAGCTGAAGTCTCAGTCTTACAGCAAGCCGTCGGCCTCCCAGGCTTGAGTTGAGTCGGAGTTTCGGACAGCTAAGTTTAACATAGAGAGTGCTCACAAAATCGCCACCGAATTTGCGATTAGTCAACATCTCGGTTGCGAATTCTTGCGCTCTGAAGGCCATGATTGACCTGGCCATTTCAAAGACCAGGTGTTTGTCATTCTGCTGACCAGTCTCCAGTCTCGGTTGCGGACATGGTTTATAAAGACGGATCGATGGTAAGTTACTGAGGTTAGGCTCAGAGCTAATTGGTGTTTCTTGACCTACAACTGTGACACCAAAAGGTGTAGATCACTCGGGTATTGCTGATATACACCGGGAGATCATTCGATTGAGTTCAACTTTCCATGGGCCGCCTGAAGATTGCCGAACATATAAATACAGTTGCGTTGACGAGTAGATGGAGTCTCTCAAGAGCTGAACACTTCCCAAGTGACCGTATTTGAAGAGACGGAGCTTCGGGAGATCTTCTACAGGGCCGTCGCGACCTCAGTCTCCGTGGTCCGCTGGGAAGCACCCGCAGCAATACAACCCCTCTCACCGGCCCGTGAGAGGCTAGGCTTATTTGGATTGCCCACATGAGATTAGTATACTTGGTCGCTACAACGTATAAACATGAGAGCTTACGTTCCTATCATAAGGTATACCGATTTCCTGAGTCTTTCGTCTCACGGCGTTTCTTGAGTTTATGTAAACAATTTTCTTCGCAGTCCTTGTTTCCGGTATCAAGATAACAACGGCTTTCCCTTGGCTTGACTGAGAAATATATGCCATCTGGTAGAATATTTCCGAGATTCGCTATTCAATCGACGTTCGACCATGAGTTTTCTAGCCGTAGGTATCTGGGTTCTTATGAAGTCAAACGATCCAAGGTCCACAGAGTGAAGTCATCCTTCAGCCACTTTTGATATGGATGTGAGGGCCTTGATACGTCCAAGAAATGATGAGTTTCGCCATCGAATTAAGTCGGCACTAGGAACGTGCAGACCGAAGATATTCAACGTGATTGACGAGGGAGTAGGGATATAGTTCTGCGCAAGCAAGTGTTAAATACGATCAAAGGAGTGTCATTTTATCATTGTTCATTGCCATGATCAAAGTTGACCTGCTCAAGCAAAGGCATCCAATCAAGCAACCGAAGTGCTTGAGCTCGAGCTCAATGCGTAAATGTTCTATAATTAGGATTAAACAACTAACCCCCATCTTCGACACTGTCGTCCTCCAAACCAGCGTTCAAGATACGGAATACAGACGATCACTTATGGCTTATAGCCCTGAGTGGTCTTGCGTAGTCGTAAGATGGGAGCGCTCCGCCCTGACCATTGATTTCCCTGTCAGAAAGATGGCCTTGATTTGACTGTGTCGCGTGAAGTCGTCGGTAGAAGAAGAGTCGGGCTGAGTATGTAGGTCGCCGGCCTCTGGGTATATCCGTCCATAAGTCATGATGTAAAAGTGTTGTTGTGAAGAAGTAACGATGCAAATAGCCGACTGCCCTGGTTTCCTCCGCCAGGCCAAAACATTCTCAACGAAACCATCAATCCTTTCCAGATTGACCTTTCATCCTAGCTAGATTCGATTCATTGCGCGACCGCAGCGGCTACCGCCACTCCGACAAAGGCGATCAGCATAGCGAGACTTGAGTCAGATTGGCGGCCTGCAGCATTGACGGGCGACGACGTCGAGAACGGGGGGCTAGTAGGGAGGGGATTCCATGTGTCTCCGCCACCACCGCCTTGCGTTGCCGAAGCAGACGCAGAACTTCCACCGCCAGCACCTCCAGACGCCGTAGCTGTTGCGGTCGCAGGCGACGAACCGAACGAAGACCCCGAGATGGCTGATACGAATGACCCGGATACCGTTGAGCCACCAACAGCCCCTGCGCCGACGCAACCACAGACTTGGTCCTGTTAGCCAGTGTATCCAACAGAGATTGATTGCCGCATGGTGACCACAGGCCAGGACAACAACAGACTCTTATGATTCAAATATCCTAGAGGAAATGAAGAACTTACCGGATGAAGCTCCGTTTATGACAGCCTGAAACGACGCGGCAGGACAGCCTGTTGCAACACAGGGTTCAATGGCGGCGTAGAGAGCCGCCTCTTGTCCACACTGACATGAGAAGTCGAGGCTATCGCAGCCTACAAAAGACGCGCCGTCGAGGAAACAGCTTTGCGCGCAGGAAGGAATCGCTGTGACGGCGACGCTCGCGCAGTTTTCCGCCGCCACCACGCCGCTCGCCAGCAACACCGCGCCGGCGACGAGACGAGTGAAGTTCTTCCTCATCATGATATATGATCTGATGTTTGTCTCTGTACTCTTCTTGACCGAGTACTGTTTGGTTAAGCGATTGTGAAGTTTGGTCGAACTGGGAGATGGTGAAACGAGGAGTGCTTCAAGGAGTCTTGTTGAACATGGAGATGGAGCGTCCAATTCGTTCCTGGGTGGTCTGGATACATGCAGGAGAAAGGGAGAATGGGGGACAAGCTTCCTTTGTGGAGGGAGACTGTAGGAAAACCCTGCATGGGGGAGGGGGTGGGAGTGGGAACGGGGACATAGAAAAGGGAACAACCGACAATCACGTTTGTCCTTTTGTCACCTACCTTACCTCGCGATAAACACCACACACGACTCATAGCCATGAGCTCTAGACCAGCAAGCCTGGGCTTCCTTCAGCTGCACGTTGCAGCTTAGCTAGCTTCCTCGGGAGCTATCTAATTTCCCTCACAGATTTTCGCTTTCACATGTGGGCTGCTGTGCTCCCAACCGGCGGCTGGTCGGCATGAGGTCATGTCCGTCGAGCCGTAAATGGGAATATCATCACTAATACGACGCAGGTGGAGAGGGATGTCACCCACACCAACGCACACACACACCAGCACACCAAAATTTTCTCACTTACTAAGGCAAGGTAGTTGTCGTTCTTCCATTGCGCTATCTACTCGGCCGACTTCTCTTCATCCACTTTCCCCCGCAGTCAACCCCGGGGGGTCTGGGGACGGCGATGCCTTCCGATATGGGGCAAGACGCGGGGAATCGACAGGGATGCCCGAGGGGGAATGGCGCTGATCCTTTTGGCCCTGGCACTACTGCGTACGGCAAAGTCGCAGGTGTTGCTCTTTTAAGCTTTTTCCTTGGGGTGCGGACGAATCGTTTGTCTGATGATTGACTTGGCCGTTGGGATGGGCGAGCTATTTTGCCCAAGTCTTGGACGCCGCTCCGACCAGGAAGAGGCGCTGGCCTCGCGCTATATCAAGTTGGGAGCTTGGTGGCAGGGGTTGGGGTAGACAACACCCTGGCGATGTGATTTGATGTGCAGGTGATAAGCTGGCTGGCTGAATCCACCATGAATGGACCGAGGCTGGCAGAGGACGCACGCGACAAAACATTTGATTGTGATTTCCCAGCTCGTATTTGGGCAAGATGGTTGCACCGTAACAGAGATCTTGACGGACGAGGCGGATGAAGATGGTGCTTCGAGGTGGCGAGCCAATCAAGACTTCTAGAAACTTACTTTCATCAATTGACCTCCCCGACCGTTGGAGAAGGTTCCCCGGTGGCTTACTTAAGTTCCTTTCTGCTAGTGCTGGGCCTCAGCAACGCGGCCAATTGTTGGTGATATCTTGCCAGCCACTAACAGCCTGCTAAGACATTCTGCTAGCTCAACTTCAATCGGTTGGACGAGGTCATCGAGCAAACAGTTCGACATAGTCCAGGAAGGATTGACGGCGCAATTCTTTCTGTAGACAACAAAGAAACTAATAAGCGAGACATTCATTAGATTAGCTCGGGTGAGAGGATTGGACGGAAAGATAGACACGGCTTGTAATGTTACACCCTTCACATTCATCTTCCAAGATTCTTCCATCTGAAAAGTCTGGACTTCATGAGGGACTTCGGAAATTAGACGAAGATGGTTGCATGTACCTGGCCTATCATAGGCTAGATCTGCCTGCACTTTGCCGTCTCCAGCCTGCAGGCTTTCTAGCCGATGTCACCAACTTTGTTATGCTGCCTGGCTGCGAATCCATGCCTCAGAAAACGTGGTTTTCCCGACTGCGACTTGTTGGGGTATTGGGGCTATCTATGACTCTGTTATTGTTTCGATTAGATCAAGAGTATATCTGGCATCGGAAGCCCAACTTAAGCTTCAATTTCGCTTCTCTGTCGTCACATGTAATGACAGATCTAACCATGCGCACAATCGCATTACCATAATCTTGGTCAGTATGGCGAAGTTAACCGAGGAGCATCTCAGCCTTTCATCCCCTGGGACAATTATCCAGTGCGCATGTTTGGCAATTTTGCACATCGGATCGCTCGCTCTGACTCTCGGCGCTGGCTCATAGTCCATGCTTGACCATGCCGTGACAAGAAGGGTGATGACACGCTGGATGGTGCGTAGGTCGATGATTTGTCAGGTTCGGCACAATCCCTGGAGCACAACCTTCATCGCACGATGATGCGAGGGAAGGTATACTGATCTGACGCGAACTAGCCCTCTTCTCCTGATATGATCTCGCCCAGTACTGAGCCGGCGGCAGTCAACACTAGAGTCTAGGCTGCGGTGATCCGACAGTCATCTGATGTAGTTTCTAAAATCAACACAACCCGGGTCCAATATCTCGTCTGTGCTTTCCACATATCTTCCCTAAAGTCTCCAGCGGGAACTTTGAACCAGCCGCTTTCCAACTGAGGCTCTCTTAAAGCGAAGGCGCAAAGTCAGCCGGTATGATAGGTATGGTATAACGAATGATTGTAGGACCCGGATAATAATGATAGAGAGCAAAACTCAAGGTTCCGTCTTGCTTTCCAAATGGACCCATTTGAATGAGCCTCAAGAAGCTGATTAAACCGTCTTGATATCATGCGTTTAGGAAGTCTCGTTGTGCGGCCTTGCACTTTTTGTTCAAAAACGGCTTATTTTTAAGGGCATTCGGACGCTTGAAGTCTGCATGTGTCTCTCTCTGCGACGTTAGATACCCCAGCCAGAATCGGGATAGAGTCGTAGACTAGACCACGGTCCACGGGAACTTTTACTTCCTTTGTATGAGATGTAATACCTTGATCCAATCAGTCATTGGCTGCCGAACGTTCAGGATTTGGTTGTGTTCCGATGTTATTTTCGAGCTGGAGTTGTCACATTGGGAGGTCGTTCACGGAAACTACAGCTAGTATCGACTAGATCAATGCTCAGTCTCATCATATGCGTCTTATGGTGGCTATCTAGCCAGCTATATCTTGGACTTGTTCTTTTCCTTCTCTGTCTCTGCACGGAAACGCTTCGTCAACTGCCGAATGGCCAAGTCCAGTAATACATCCTCGCTTCCACCGGGGATTCTTGCACCCGGAACCTCACGGTATATTTCTGCAAGGGAGTAAGTTAGCTACGTTTTGATAACTTCATATATCAGAGAATATCATGACTCACTTTCGGCAATTTCTCCCTTGCCCGTACGCGTATAGCCATTGCCGCCGAATAGCAGCACAGCACATCTCGCACACTCGTCGAGAACAATGCCAGCATTGGCTTTGCACAATGCAGTTAACCCACCTAGCTCCTCGTCTGCAGTCTTCTTTGGCATCTGGGATAGTTGGTATGCAAACGATTCAACCCAAGCATACTGCGACTCGAGTATAGCTCCACACTTGGCCAGCCGATGACGGACCACTGGTTGCTCAATAAGGGCCTTTAGTTATTTTGATTAGCAGAGAGCTTGAAAATAGTGCTTGTGGGAAATCACTTGTCATAGACAGACCTTATCAAACGCCCTACGCTGCATGCAGTACGCAAATGCGGCGCTCAGGGCCACTCTAGCTTGCCTCGTCACACCCACCGAAATAAACATCCGCTCATGATTGAAGTTGTGCATGATATACTTCATGCCCTCATTTTCCTTGCCGATGAGGTTCTCTCGCGGCACCCTGACATCGTCAAACTCGAGGTACGAGGTACCGGCGACAATTTGGCCGGCGACTTTAAGGCGCCTCCTGCTTACGCCGGGTTGATTCGCAAGGGGCACCACAAGCAGCGAGATGCCCTTTCCTCCTGAGCCTTCACCACCGGTGCGAACGGCTATGGTTGCAAAGTCTGCCATAACGCCATTGGTAATCCACTTCTTGGCGCCGTTGATGACGTACTCGTTGCCTTTGAGCTCAGCTGTAGTAGTAATGTTGGCTACGTCTGATCCTGCACTGTAATCGTTGAGTCATTGAGGTTAGCTAGGGTTCTGGTGCGTTCGGTCAGAGAGCTCTATGGCTGCCTTACTCGGGCTCAGTGATGGCAATGCAGGTTCTTTTCTTTCCAAGAAGTAGATCGGGGAGAAACCTGTTCTGCACTTCGGCATTTGCATAGTGCAGTAGAGGAGGAACACCGAATGCCATGCCAGTAGTCAAGGATCCCGGAGGTCCGGCCAACCCAGAGCGACTCATCTGGAAGCCAGTCTGTCAGCTTCACATGGAATTTTTTTTCTTTTTTTCTTTTGAAAATGGATGATGATTTACCTCATCTGAGTAAATCATCGTGTGCATCGCATCCCACTCCTCTACCGGTACCTCCCCGGGCATATGCGTGACACCCAACTTGTGCAGCCATTCCACGGGTAAAGGCGCCGGCAATGCCGGAATCAGGAAGTTTCCTTTGGCGAACTTGGCGAATAAATCAGCTGGCACGTCTTCCGCTGTTTCCCAATCCATCGCATCCTTATGCAGATTCTCGTCGAGGAACTTTCTGCAGGCGACTTGGAATCTGCGATGTGAATCGTTGAAGTACGGTGAGGGCAGGCCTCTCAGCCATGGTGGATCTGCGAATGGAACCTGAGACATGGTATCGGCCTGCAGTCGTACGTGATTAAGGTGCTATGGGAGTATGGCAAGTAAGAACCGGATATTCTATAACTGAGGATCAAAGTGAAAATGCTTGAAAGAAAGGCCTCTCGAACTTCTTGTTGTTGTTGATGGCGAGTACCTGAGCTCGGGCAGATCTTTCGGCATTCTGAGTGCGGGGCCGGCTGAGACCGAGGTCTTCCGCCCTTGTACCCCACTCAACGCTAGCCATGGGCCGAAGACGAGTCCGTTGACAGCGGCGGATCACCGAAAGACGGGCTAGACCAAAGCCGGATGAATTTGATCGGGCCGGGATTGACTCGAAGTTATTGATTCAGCCTGGCCTTTGCACCGGACATTGTAAGTTCTTCTGAGAGTTTGCGGAATGCTCTTGAGCCAGAAGTAGCACGATGGCATGCCGGTTTCCGGAAGATTAAATGAAGTCCACAACAATTTCCTTTCTTTCCCTTATCCAGTCTATTATCATAAGAAACATCGCATATCAAGTCATGTGTTCAAGAGCTGCAAGGCATTAAAAATTCAAAAAGTCCTTCGCTTGTATGTACTTATCTATGGTAGATGCATGTGCAGTATGTGGGGAAAATATGTACAACATGAAGTCGTCAATATGCTTTGCGCTGTCGGAGGTGTTTTGCACAACACTTTAAACCTATGCGCCAATGTAGAAATCGATGCAGCTCTCGTAAGTTTGCTTGTTGGTCTCAGCATACCAGAACCACTGGATCGCGCACTTGCCACCAACGTCGCAAGCGGAGGCAAGGGTGTCGGGGATGGTGATGTTCCAATCAGCTGTATGGTTGTCAGTAGGAAGCACACACACGTTGGCTAATTTCTCTATCCACTTACTGTCGGCCAACGGGTCGGGGTCGGTGGTGGGCCAGTCAGACCACGAAATGAGCGGCTCGCCGATAATGGTGTTGTTTGCAAGGTCAATCACGGAGACGTTCTGTCCAATATCAGCACATGCATTTCTCTGATCGTGGTTTAGCTTACGGCGTGTCCTGGTCTGTGTCCAGCCACGAGGTCGATGTGGAAAGGGATAACTTCGCCGGCCTTGACGACGCGAACGTTGTCCTCGTTATCTTCGTACTGGTAGCCACGGCATTGGAACAGGTTGCACTTGTAGTCGGCATCCGCTACCGCAAGGGAGTTTTCGATAGGACCGGCGATATCGCTGTCGAGCTTCTTGGTTACCGCAGCTCCGCAGAGCTCTTCCTGCTTGGCGCCAGTCTACAACCAATTCATTAGCTCCAACTTTCGGCGCGCGACCACATGAACTCGGAACCTACCGTTCTAGGCTCTGGGGTCTGTACGACACCATGTCCCAGGACACTGGTAGCCAGAGCTGCAAGAATGGCGTGCGTGAACAACATTGTGGAGAGAAAGCCGGATGAGTGATGCCGTTCGTGGAGTTGTGTTGGTAACAAAGTGCGCAAAACTGCTCAGAGATCGAAGCCGAACTTCCGAGCGTAGACCTTTAAGAGTCTTTTGAGACTCCCTTTCAAAATCGGTCGCATGTTTTAGACATCAAGATTAAAGTGTCAGATGGATCGATGACAAGCAGAATTCTGCCGCTGTTTAATCAATTGCCCGCGTGGCAGCCCCCATTTTGCACCAATTCTCCACAAATGACAGGCCTGCGGTCGCCAATCATGCCCTTGAGTTGATTAACATGCGGCACTCGGAGACACCCACCGGCAATCCACTGCACCCCTTGGTGGAACCGTAGACTTAGAAAAGGCATGCACAATTGGTGGGATTTCCTGAAAGAGCCTGGCAAAAAGGGAGAATAAAAGGGGCCGGAACTTATTGGAACGGAGCAGTCTAAAGAGAAAGTGGCATGAAACAGGGCAATGAATGTTCTACGCCAAGACTTGAGGGCGGACCACCGGCATCATGGAGTCTTGGACTTTGGGCTTCAGGACCGAGATTTCTATCGTTCGGACTTTGAAAAGGCCGTAATCGTATGGAGTGACGAATGGAGTGGACATCATAGTCGTGAAAGGATCTTGAGACTAACTGAGAGCCTCAAAGCATCTACTTTTGAGGTACAATCGATGGCGCCTATCTCACATGCTTACTACAGCTTTTAGGGGTTGACGACAGGAAACGTTCTCAACAATGTTGACTGTTGCTTCGAGACTCTAGTAACTGGGAACTATGAGTCCATCTAATGCTTAACTTTAAGGCATTATTACATGCTTACGTGCGTTCATACTTGGGTTACTCAGAGCAACATGCTTGAAAGACGTGTAGAGAGGGTGCATAAAGATCCTTGTTCTTCACGGGGGATACTGCCACAACTCAGCACGTGCTCAGGTAGGCAATCAGGTTTGATACCCGCTGGCCATACACCGCAAGACGGTAACAAATCGAGGTCTTCCCTCAGTCAGAAGAGTTTTCAAATAAAATGGCCTGTTCTTTTGATTCCAATTCTAATCCTCTAATTTGAGTCTCCTCGAATGGCTACACAGAAAGGACAATTGGAAATTACCGCTGGTTTGGCACTCGCATCTGGTCGATGAGGCTAAGTCTCGACCCAAATCTCGCATCAACTGACAACTCATTTGCGAATCGACACGAGTTTCGAGACAACATTCACTCTTATCTACAATGCTGACAAACGCGTGCATGAGCTTGACGTCATTGTTGAATCCCCGCGTTGCTGCCTAACTGATAAGTTATATCCTCGAAAGAGTCAGCCGCTACTACCATTATGGACTGCGCTACATGCCCAGGACAGTTCTTCAAATACACCAAAGAGTTGGACGGTGCACGACCCTCAAGGAAACTCTTTGAAGGAAGCCTATATCTAAGTATAGGCAGGTAATCACGATCGACATGTCTCTGGATACACCGCGCTTCATTCCAACCCCAACCTCAGTGGAGGGCTATGCCTCATTCAGCCATGGAGAGAACCCAGAGAATCTTGTCAAAGAGTCGTTGAGGCAGATCATTGATGCCCATCCGCCTCTGAGAGTATACACGAAAGACCAATGTCGAGGCTTTTTCCGCGGTCCAACATCTTTGGCATATCTACTGCTTAGAGTCCATGAGTCTTATCCCGAAATCAGAATCCAGGGCCAGTCACTCCAACATTGGGCAGCCGCATATATCGCTGCCGAGCGTGACGGAGAAGATTCGGCGCCTTGTGGCCTCGCAAGCGAAAGCGCTGCGTTTTGGGCGGTGCAAACGATTTTAGACGAATCAAAGGCACCAAAGTTCCGAGAAGTTCTGGAAAGGCTTACCAACGAAGACGATCAGCCATATGAGCTACTCTTCGGCTATGCTGGTATCTTGTACATGATACGCGCCGTCGAGTTTTCGGTATGAGTTTTGCTTGCCGTTTGCTACTTCTTTCAACGTGAAGTTGACAATAATGTTCATCAGAGACCGGAAACGGCAAGTCAATTTGCCGCCATCAAAGCCCAAATCGTTGACAAGACACTTGGTGCAGGGCCTCTTTGGACCTTCCGCGGGAAGCGATATATCGGTGCCGCCCACGGTGACATTGGCATCTTGACTCAACTCGTATTGACGGACCCAAAATTGGCGGAGAATCCGATGATCCGGGGCTCACTCGAGCGGATGCTTGAAGTGCAGCGAGGAAATGGCAACTGGGAGACAAAAGACGACCCAGGCAATACTATTTACGAGGGTCTTACTCAGTTTTGCCATGGAGCGCCTGGATTCGTTCTGTCACTCGTGCATCTTGAGAAGTTCTTCCCAGATCTGAAGGAGAAAATCGGCAAAGCTCTTCAACTTGGCAGGGATTTCATCTGGAAGGAGGGACTTTTGCGTAAAGAGCCGTGTCTGTGTCATGGATCACTGGGTAATTCTCTGTGAGTACACAATTATGACCTCGGTTTCGGATTCTCAGCCTGTCACTTACACTTCGGACAGGGCGTTCCCGCCAGGGAAAGAACGGGATCACTTCCTGGCTTGGTCGCTGCCGTCCAAAGTTGCGGAAGAGCACGAGCGGGACATGACGCTTTTCGCACCGGAGGACGGAGCGCGCCTCGCAACGTTCTTCGACTACTTGCCTAGCGCAGCTTGGACGTACATGGTTTGCGGAGAGGAAATTCCCGGGTTCATTCTCTACACTGATGTGTAGGTGTCTAAGTAACGTATAGCACAGAGCATAGGGGGGCACCTCTAAGCAGTGAAAATGACTATACGTAGAGTTTTCGACCTCGGTCACTGCACAATTCATGTGAGTTTACTGTGGGAGAGATTTCGCTTACAACTGAACTTTGTGCAAGAAGAGAACGTTAAATGGGAACATCGTCTGAAGATTTGACCTCGACTTGTTTCATCGCAACAACTCTAACACGAATGTGGGATAATAACTTCTTTGATCATTGAATATGTATAAGGGTATTAGTCTTCCGTTATCTGTCATTTCCGTGCCGTCATTGCGGCGGAAAAGCCGGATGATCCGGTGGGCGAGTTGCAGATCTTACCACCACAGTCGTCGTGATTGATCCATCGGGTCCGTGGTTCTTTACTACCCTGAACTTCTCCTCATTCGGCAATTCCGAAACCCATGTGTCGGAAGTGCAAGATCTCTTCACAGTAGTTCTGCTATACGCAATTTCAAATTCCTTCTCGACCATAATCATCTCAAGGCCTTGTGGAGTGAGGCTGAAATCTCTCGCGGCCTCGAGGTCACCACATGTAGGACCAGGCCATAGCTTCTTTCTTGAGGCGGTAGAGGTCGGTGAAGCTGGAATGGTTGGAGATGGCATCGGTGATGAGAAGTGCCCTGGGAAAAGATGATCTACCAGAGGCTGTAGGGCTGGTATACAGGCGGCGATAATGACAACGTCTGCCTCAAGACTGTGTTGAATGTTAGCCATCTTTGTTTAGATGTTGACTAAGAAAGCCATGAATCGTTATCTCGTCTCTCAAAGCCTCTTGTTTGTGTCATCATCGCTGTCTTACCCTGTCCATATCACAAGGTCCGCCGAGTCGTCTGTTTTCAACAGTCAGGGCTCAAGTACTCTAGCCAGAAGCAGCATTACACTCACAAGTGAAGTCGGGGCTTCCGAGAGATTTAAGTCTTGTGCACTTGAACAAGGCGGTAAATAATGCACTAGTAGACAAGTGAGCTCTACTCTTGATTTTCTCAGGAGCGGCCTGGGTAGTCATCAACCCATGCCAGGGATGTATGTCGTCCCCAATTTGACTTACAGTAGGCCCAACACAAGAGAAATCGTTATAGCCAGCCTCTTTCTTCGTGCAATCTTCAGCCTTCGAACAGATAGCGCCACATAAATGGCGAGGTATGCATTCGTAGCAGCCGATATGCCTGGAATCATTCATGTGGTCAGCAATTACCTCCTGTCTTGGTTTACATATTAGGAGGAAGCAACCCACCACTTGTTGATATTGAATATGCAACCGCTCTCTCGGGTCCCAAACAGGCGGTCTTCGTGTACGTGATGTTCACCACAGCTTCTTGCGGACACTGCGCAAAGAGGCCGATTACATTCCCAAGCAATCCTACGCAGCACAATAACCCTAGTGCCCACAGGAAAAGTCGCTGGAGTCGTTTCGGATTGAGCAGTCGGTTCATCAGCGCCACCACGGCGAGCTTCGGCAAAGCCAGCGCAATGATTCCAAAGCCAAACGACAATATCGTCCACCTCAGTGTCTCTTCCTTCTGCTCATCGGTGAGCACATTAACGTGTTTCCCATTGCCGAGCGCGACAGCCTTTAGCGTCGTCCCGGTCGCCGTCCATCCCGCCACCACCGCTGCCAGGAGAATCCCGTCGTCATATTGAATTCGGTGCTGAATCAATCCCTTGACGTACAGCCGCGCAAAAGCGAATAACGTAGATATGATGGTTATCGGAACCACTGATGCTACGATTATGGCGCTAATATCGTGATTATCGACGACATCGTCAGAGGGGTCGACGTCGCGCGGTAGTATGGGAAACGGTGGTATCGTCGTCCGGGCTATGGTTTTGTACAGCAAGTACATCATACGCGCTGGCGTGGTGTCATTCGGTCATTGAGGCAAAGGCCAAACATGGCATTCCCACATACGGTCGTATTCTGCCAGTTTGGGTAGAATGATGTGGGACGACGAGAAATGGTAAGAGGGTTTTGGGGAGAATGGGGGGGAAAGCAGGTACAGCAGGTAGGAAGAGGAAAGCTTCTTCTAGAAAGAAGGAAAGGATCGAGCCTATTGTCTCACGGACCTGAGCAGGCACAGGCGACAGGTCGCAAAACTGAGTGTCTGAGGGTGAGCCCATTCGCCATCATCCGATTATATGGTTGGGTGAAAGGAAACTTAGTTTCTTCGGCCTGGCGCCGCTTCCTTCAGGCGGAACAAAGTCTCCAAACCAAAGAGAATGAACCGATG